AAGAGATATGAAAGATATAGCTTGACTATTTTTGGGTAATTTGAGACAATTATATCTTTATGAAATTTTAAATCATGTTCACTGTGGAAGAGATGATTTTTTAAAATTAATACTTAGGGGCCAGCCAGTGGCACAGTGGTTATGGTGCTGGACTCCCACATGGCTGACCACAGTTTGAGTCCCAGACCTGGTGGCTTGCTTTCTCACTTTTTCTTTCTCTGTCTCTCTCTGGTCAAATTAAAAATAATAATGACAATAACAAAATAATTCTTAGGAAAAAAATTGATACTTAGTTGCATTATTAAGGCTCTGTACTTTATTTAGGTGACACCAGGTTCGAGCAGTTCGGGAGGATTGTGTGTGCATGTGTGTGTTCCTTTTAAACTAAGGATGTGTGTGCTGAAGGCATAAATGATAACCAACGGATCCACTGATTTTTTTTTGCTAGATCTAAAGCATCCAGGTATTTAACCAAATAGAAGCTACAAATGGATTTTTTTTTTTTTTTTTTTTTTTTTTTTTTTTTTTTAGATTTTTGCTATAGGGTGCATGTACTCGCCAGAGAGACAGAAAGTGAGAACTCACACCCCAATCCCTTCTCATCCATTCTCCTGGGATTTTGGGCACACATGCACATGCGCCCAGTATGAGTTTTAAGCCACCAGGTCCGGGACTTCAACCACCGTCGACTTCGTGGGACTCCAGCGGTGTAACCATTACACCACCTGTTGGTCTCGTGTTGCTGTGTTTTATTGTGAGAAACTTCAAACATACTCAAAGGTGGAGAGGATAGTGATAAACACCCAGTGACCCATGTCGACAGCTGTCACTCCCCACTTCCCACCCTGCGATTATGTTCAAGTAGATCACGGATATTTCACACTTCAGACTGTGTCCAGAAACAAGGACTCTAAAAACAGACAGTGTTAAAATGTGATTGCACACACGTGCCGCAGTGCATTCTCACACGGCGGGCGGGCTGCGGGCTTCTCGCGGAGGCTCGTTAGCTCACAGTTTGGAGATCCTGCTCTGTAACAGGGGCCTCAGATATTTCGCATAGGCAGGGTTCCCCTGTTTGTAGAGAGAAATGCATTATGAAGACGGACCGTTTCTGCCAAGACGAGTGACTTTTACTTTCAAATGAAGTCTTTGGCTTCAAAAACAGTAACCTTACATAAGGTTCTTAATTTTTAAAATTATTTCTTAAATTCATTTCATGTGAACAGACGGAGGAACATTTTTCCCAAAGGGCATCCTTCCTTTTCTCATGCAGATTTTAAATTGTGGATGCAGGTGGCCAATTACCAGCGCAACTTATCATTTGTTTTTGTACCTTAATACAGATTAAAAGCTTGGCTCTGAACGTTCACCACGAAGCACAGGGCCAGGAAGTGGGACCGGGCCAGGAAGTGGGACCGGGTAGCATAGTTCTGGGTTGGAATAGGTCATCCTCATTCTCTCTGAGGCAGTGTCCTGATTCTCCACAGATCCTGCTTCATCTTTTATAGAATTTGCCTGTTTATGTTCTCTTTTTGCCTGTCGACACTAAAACCATAAGCTTCTTGAACACAAGTCTATGGCTCTTTTTTTCCACTGTATTTTTTTAAAGGATTATTTTCTTTAACTTGAGTATTATTATTTTAATCTGACCAGAGAAAGAGAGAGAGAGAAAGTGAGAAAGCAAGCTGCCAGCACTGAGATTCGAACTGCGGTCAGCCATGTGGGAGTCCAGCGTCTTTAATCACCACACCATCTGCCGGGCCCCTCCACTGTACTCTTAGTACCTAAACAGTTTTTGGCACATAGAATGTACCCAATAAATATTTGTTGAATGATTGTATGAATTATCGCATCTACCTACTACTTCGACAAGGTTTTATTTATGTTTTGTCAGAGGGAGTGTTTGCCAGAGAGGGAGAGACTAGGAGAGAGAAAGCACCCCTCAGTGCAGCATGGTCATGCTGCAGTCCCTTTTCCTCCACCTCTCCATCCTGTCAGGATTTGGGGCATGCATGTGTGGTTTTTTTTTTTTTTTTTTTTTGAGAGGTTTTTGCTATAGGGCGCGTGCGCTCGCCAGATAGACAGAAAGAGACATAGAGACAGAAAGGTGGTAATAGGTTTCTTGTTCAAAATTATCCCCAGGGATTGAATCTAGGAGTCACTTAGATGTGAGTTCATGTGGGGAGAGAGAACAGTCTTTTGCAGTTCACTTTGGAGAAGTTGGCAGAGGAGGAAAAAAGCCAAAAAGCAGGACCTCATGCTAGCATAAACCAGGAGAGAGTGCGCCTTCCGATCTAGGACCAAGGCCCAGCACGACCTGCCCTAGACAGACGAGAGACTCCTGTGATCTGAGACATTTCCCGTAGCCTAGCATTTTTCTTTTGGTAGAAAAATGTCAGGGAAATAAATTCCCATTTGTATTTTTGTGTCTACAGGGCGTGTTTTAATATAGCTGCTGTTTTAATTTATCTGAAATACCTGTAGTGTGCTTTTTCTACTAGTGCAAATGAGGAAAAGTAGCTTATTTCAGCTTCAAAATTATCTGCAGCAGATAGAAAAATCTACTACTGTACCGTGCTATTTTGGTGCTTTCTAAAGGAGCCAGAAATGTAAGATCGTGTGGTTACATATTAGCAGTCAACTGGGTGTCGTTTCAACTAACTGGAAATGGTTCTTCAAGGACACGTGTGGGTTCATGTTCATACGTCGCTGTGCACGAGAGCCACGCTGCCGTGCCTGTCACTGTCTAGTGAGGTCATGTGGCTGGGACCGTGAGCATCTGTGGCATCGTGTAAGCAGCAAGTCCCTTCATCTCACCACGCGGGTCATAAACCCATGTTCGTCTATCCAGTAAATGTGGAACGTCTGCTCTGGCAGAGTCCAGAGTTAGGAAGGTGCAGACTCCATCTTTGCTCATTCGAAGGGAAGCTGGTAGAGAAGAGTGAGTGGGTGAAGTCCGGGATCGTTAGTCTGTTAACGCAGCAGGTGGGTCACACCTCATGCGTAGGTAAGCCTGCTCTTAGGTACTAGGCAGGTAAAGGCTTTTATGTGATACGCGAGCAACAAGAATGCCCCCTGGCTTTCTCTGCTCAAGATCAGGAGACAGGAGAGCTGGCACTGCCTAGGCTGCCAGTCCACGTTTCCTGACAGGTTACAGTGGGGTGGGGTTTTCTCTGGAGGGCCAGAGGACATCCATTTACCTGTAGACCTTGGGAGCTGTTCTGCAGTGAGAGGACTGCCAGATTTTTATGCCAGAATTGTTTTGCTTTTCAGATTTTGCCAGAGGACACTTAACAGTCACTAAAGAGAGAGAGAGAGAGCGAGCGCACGCACCTCTTGGGATCTTGGGATGCACTCACACTTGCTTGGCATGCATTCCAAGCCACTGGGTCCAGGACTCAAACCATGGTCAACCACGTGGGAGTCCAGTGCCTTAATCACTGCTGGCCCCCCAGTGGGAGTTTCAAGCCACTGGGTCTGGGACTAAATCCCAGCTGGCCATGTGGGAGTCCAGCACCTTAACCACTGTGCCACCTGCTGGTACCATCTTTAGGTAAATTGTTTATAATTCCTTGCTGAGTTGAAAGGCTGCCTTCCTGGAGACGGGAAATGACAAAGTGGGTTGGCCTTCTATCTAACTAGCATCTTGGCAGTAACTGGCTGTATTTTTTTTTTAATTTATTTATTTTATTTAACCAGAGGGGGACAGAGTGACAGGGGTGGGGGAGTGAGAAAGTAAGCCACCAGGTCCAGGACTCAAACCATGGTCGGCCATGTGGGAGTCCAGCGCCCATTGTTTTGCTTTTCAGATTTTGCCAGAGGACACTTAACAGTCACTAAAGAGAGAGAGAGAGAGCGAGCGCACGCACCTCTTGGGATCTTGGGATGCACTCACACTTGCTTGGCATGCATTCCAAGCCACTGGGTCCAGGACTCAAACCATGGTCAACCACGTGGGAGTCCAGTGCCTTAATCACTGCTGGCCCCCCAGTGGGAGTTTCAAGCCACTGGGTCTGGGACTAAATCCCAGCTGGCCATGTGGGAGTCCAGCACCTTAACCACTGTGCCACCTGCTGGTACCATCTTTAGGTAAATTGTTTATAATTCCTTGCTGAGTTGAAAGGCTGCCTTCCTGGAGACGGGAAATGACAAAGTGGGTTGGCCTTCTATCTAACTAGCATCTTGGCAGTAACTGGCTGTATTTTTTTTTTAATTTATTTATTTTATTTAACCAGAGGGGGACAGAGTGACAGGGGTGGGGGAGTGAGAAAGTAAGCCACCAGGTCCAGGACTCAAACCATGGTCGGCCATGTGGGAGTCCAGCGCCCTTACCCACCACGCCACCTGCTGGCTCCAACTGGCTATAGTCTAACTTCAGATAATCATGTTAAATTGAGCTATGAGGTAGGACAGGCTGTAAGTCGTTAAGAGCAAGTCTGACAGCATGCGGAGTGTGAATGGAAGCTTGCGAGCTGCCAATTTGATGAGGTGTTAAGACACCTTTTCCGAAATTGGACCAAGGAGGTAAGAAAAAGAAAAAGGTTTTAGTTTCACCATCTGAATAACATATTTTCGGTATAAAACTTAATCTGTTGTGTACCTCTAGACTTTGTTTTGATCATGTGTGTCAAATCTGCTGTTAACATTGCTTCCCCACATTGTTAAGTGCAGGGTTGCTGTATTCATTGACATACATAACTCTTCCAGTTAGGCTCAGGACTGCGAGTGGAACCCTGGCCCTAGACTGTGGAGATCTTGTCAGTGCTCCCCGTCTTCTTGCTGCTAGATGGAGAGTTTCGGTATCGTATCCTCTCCCAGGACAGCTGGGGTCTTTGCACCATAACCTGGAGTTACCCTGTGTGTGGCTCTCCTGGGCTGCCGATGGCAGTGCAGTAGCCTTCTTTGCCCCTAGGGTCGTGTCCCGGAGTGAGGGGGAGAACGGCATCTCTAGCAGGCAGTTAGGTCCGAGACCTGCCCCCTCCTCTCCACCTCTAAACACTCCTGTCTACACAAAACCTTGAGTTACAGGCAGAAAAGAAGATGGTTAAATCACAGCAGTGATTTATCTTCTTATGTTACTTAAAAGCCAGTGGGCTGCTACGTGTGTGCCCTTGGGCGTGTCAAGTCCTGATTCAGAGCCCAGACCTTCGTCCCCATTCCCTTTACTGAGCTCTGGGCAGCGCATGGCACCGGCTTCTGTCCGGGTTGGTTTCTGCCAGGCCAGACCTCTCCTCCTGCTGCTTCTATGCATTTTCTAAAAATCTGTTTAACAGACATGACGGTGCCTGGTGGCCCCCAACCCCTCGGAGTCAATTACAATGGGAAGACGTGGAGGTGGGGTCACTGCTTGGTCTCCGCCCGCTGACGTAACGTAGAACATGGCCACGCAGTTACCTGAGTGTTGGTCGGTGACCTCTGAGCCCACTGGAACAGGCGTTCATAGACGTTGCCGTCGTAACAGCCAAGAGCTGAATTTAAGCACTGATCGGTGAAGTCGAAAGCATCAGTTAGTGAGATGGCATCCTTCCTGAGAGAGGAAAGGGGTCTGTGAGTATTCGAGGCGGCTCTGGTGAATCTGATCGACCCGGGCGGTGAATGACACCACCTAATTAGAGGTTGCGTTACTTTTCACTTTTGAACAGTTCAGTCTTATTTATTTCTGTCTAGCTTTTAATCAGTTATATGCATAGTATAAAGAGCCAAATCATTATTTTTAAAAGAGTCATTTAATATTATTTACTTTAATTCGATCAGAGGGGGACAGAGTGAGAGAGAGCGAGAGGGACGGAAAGTGAGAAAGCAAGCCACCAGGTTCAGGACTTGAACCATGGTCAGCCATGTAGAGTCCAACACCTTTAACTACCAAGCCGCCTGCCGGCCCCAAGAGTCGAAGAATTCTTTAAAATTTTTTTTTCTTTTTTAGGTTTTTGCCATAGGGTGCATATGCTTGCTGGAGAGAAAAGAGACAGAGAGAGGGAAACAG